TAGGAAAAATTTGGATATATTTGGGGGAGGAAATAGTTTAGAAACCCTGATGTTACTCTGGTATAACACAATTCTCCCTGATGTGAATCTACTGGGGAGGAGATGGCATAATACTGGGTATCAATTTTAGACCTCTGAGTGAAAACTCTCACCTCTTCTCCTACTGCTTTCAGTATTTCCAAAACATCCCAAACAATCTTATTCATCTATATAGCCACTTCCCAGATGGCATCCTCCCATAGCCTCTCCCCCCTTTTACTCTGTTTTTCCTGCTACTGTCCACTGTGTTGTCAACACCCCCAGCCGTTCCCCATTACTTGTCCATCTGGTGAATCTAGTCAGCCTGTCTAGAGGTCTTTGTTTTAGGATGGTCAGCTGTTCCTTATCTAGTGGCAATCAGGTGTCAGTATTCCTTTAGATATGATTTGCGGGGCTGGGGAGATGGCTCAGCAGTTAAGAGCACTGACTACTCTTGCAGAGGACCTGAGTTCAATTCCCAGCACCCACATGGTGGCTACAAGCTGTCCTTAACTCCAGTTCCAGGGGAATATGAAGCCCTCTTCTCACGTCCACGGCATTGCACGACACGTGCACTCACATACATGCAGGCAATACACTCGTACACATAAAATAAAAATAATTAAATATTTTTTTTAAAAAAAGCCTTAACCCACTGAGCCCTCTTATCAGCCCAGAGTATGCTTTCTTCAAGTGAAACGATAAAATTCTCAGCTTTAATTTAAAAAAAAAAAAAAAAGTCAGGTTCATGGAAAATTCTATTTCTTTTAAAAGTTCAGAACTTTGAGAACCTTTTTTAAACCAACCTTTTAGCTGTATTTTTAATGTCATGTTTTCTGAAGAAAAATGAAGCTCCCTTGGCATACTGTTTTTCACACTATCCATTCAAAGGACGATTAAATATTCTAAATTTAACTTTGCTATTAAAGATTCATAGTATTAGATTGGGTCTCAATTTTAAACGAAATTCTTGTAATTTTGCCAGTTTTAAAATCAAGATTTCCTTTTTTACACTGGTCTTTCCTTTTTTTAAAGATTAAGGGAATATTCAAGAGCAGCATTCATATTTTAAAAGCTTTAACCAGGAGCGAAAATATTAAGCATCAAATCATAAGCTCTATTACAACTGCCTGCAATTGGGAAGAACAAGTGAATATTTTCATAAAACAGTGGAAATGACTGGGGGAAAATCTGGAGGAAAAAAACCCCGATTTGAATGGATTCCCCTCCCCCCTCGATCATCCCAGAGAATGTAAGTGTCCCGCATATCAGACCAAACTGAGCTGGAGTTTTACTGACGTAACCAGTAACCCTATCCACCTCTCACACAGCAGAGGCCGGCGGGGCAGTGGCTGCCGCCAAGTACACCACTCAGCAGAGCCTGCCGCATTCTACCCCCGCGTTTCAGTCATGCTTTCCAGAAATGGGGTCACTCGCTCAGTAACTATTACGCACACGCACCTATCATCCTGTAATCCCCCAAAGTCCGCTGTGAGGATGGAAGGCAGTGAAAAGTCAAGAAAGAAGAATCACAGACGCGCCACCATCAGGAACTGATTTTGCTCTAGGGAGACGAGCGCTGATACCCTGGAATGGATCTCGTCTGCATTATGTTCTAAGATTCCGAGTTGATTATGGGACAGGGACACTTGCTCCAAGCTCGCGGCTGTGATGTGTCCGCGGAAGCTGTTTTGCCCCGTTTGGGTACGCTGTTTGGTTTCGGGTTTTTGTGGATTTTTTTTTTTTTTTTTGACACTCGGGCGGGTGTCTCAGGGACCGTCACCAGAACCCTGGCAAAGAGAATGAAAATCGGAATGCCTTTTACGGAGCCGGCCGATCTCCTTAAATATCATCTCCACCGCCAGGAAACTCAAGTTAAAGTCGGGGTCCTCAAGCTCTGCGATCGCAGAAAAGAGGGAGTCAAGGGTGGGGGACCCCAGGCGTCCAGATTTTCCTTTGCAGCAGCAGAAACCGCTGCGGCAGATGGGGGGTGTCCTCCGTCCTGGGCCCCTTACTCCAAATCCTCACACCCGCAACCCTGGCCCGCGTGTGCCCGTCTCCCCGCAGCCAACCCCCCTCCCTCCGCCCGACTCCAGTGAGCCCAACCCATGACGCCAAAGTCACCAAGGTTTGCGGGGAAGCCCCGAAGCCGGCAGGGCCAAACTTCCCAACTCCCCGCCGGCTCCTGCTCCGCCTCCTGCTTCCCCCACGCAAAGTTGATTAAAACGGGCTTCTTGCAAAAGCCTCCGCGCCCACTCCAAACCCCACGCGCCGGGCACCACACCGGCAGACCACCACCCCCCAAAGGCAGGAAGGGAGGTGCGGGTACCCGTGCGGGAGCGGGAGGGAGTATTAGACAGACCAGCAAACAGACCCAGCCCAACGACCCGAAGCGGAGTCCCGCACCCGGGTGGACGATGTGAGCGGGAGGAGGTGGGAGAACCGGCAGCTCAGGGGAAGAGAACTACCCGGGGAGGGGGGGGTGCGGGAAAGGGGCGCGCCTGTCCCGCCGCCCCGCTGCACTCACCTCAGCGCTGTCGGACGGGCTCTCCACAGCCATCTTCTGCCACGGGTCCGCCAGCTGCGCCAGCGGCATCTTCCCCCCCTCCCGGCCCGCCGCCTTCACCGCCTCCTCCCTCCCCACCCGCTCTGCGGCCGGCTCCGCTCCTTCGCCGCCCAAGCCCCCTCGGCAGCAGCGGCGAGAAGCAGAACGGCGGCGGCCCGGGACAGCGAGCTCAATGCCGACACTGACCGCCCGAACGCCCAGCCTGGACACAGCCACCCGCGCGCCTGAGCTACAGCCTCGCGCCACCGCCAGGCACCAGGGCTCGCCCCTTTCTTCCTCTCCTCCTTCCGCCGCCGGGACTACGGCTCCGCCCCCCCCTCCCCTCCCTGCCGGTTCCCGCGCCCGCTCCCAGCAGAACAGCGACCGCCGCGCGCTCCCCCACTTCCGCTCACAACATGGCGCCTAAGCGATACCTGTCTCTCAGAGCGAGGCTGGGAAGCCGCCACCACCACCGCGCGCACCCAGGGGGCGGGGCCGGCACAGGACACGCCCCCGGGCCACAGCGCTCCGCCCCTCCCCTCTCCCACCCCACACCCCTCTGTCCTCCTTGGCCCCAGCCTCAGCTTCTGGGCCTCGCCTACTTTCAGGAAGGGCGAGCCCAAGAGATTTGGGGGGCGTCGGCAGGAGATGGGGGAAAGCAATGGGAAACGCAGGAGGGGCGAAGGCTCCTTGGGAATGAGGGAGCCCGTGGTCCCCGTTCAGATGGGGACGAAGATAGGCAAGGCGCTGGAGGCGCAGTCCCGTGCCAATGGCCTGGGGCGGAGGCGCGAGATGTCTTTTCGGTTTTTCTCCTCCAGGGGTGCGCGTGGGAGCTCTTAGTCTATGCAAACATCCCCTAATGGCCCAAGACGCTCCCTCTCCTGGGTCAGGTGCAGGATATTCACCTGACTCCCTTCTGTACAGATGGGCACTCCAGAGGCTTCGTGCCTAGGAGCTGCGTGAAGGTTTGGCTTCCAGATCGAGTCCAGACTCTCCAAGTTAAAATGTTAATACTTAGGGTAGTATGTTTCATCCTCCATGAGTCGTCCTCCTTCCTCGCGGCACCAATAACCCTTCCCAAGTGCGCAGAGCCCTAAGCTTCAGCCCAGACTGGCACCCCCCACCCACCCTCGATAGCCAAAGCTTCAAGGAAGAGAAAACAGAGGTTCCTTAAGGTTGCCCTTCTTGGCAGAGATTAGGGAGTTAGTAAAAATATCTTGTAGGCAGGAGCGCGGGGTTCCTGCTCCTCCGTTGACTTTAAATAAAAGATTAGATTTTTTTTTTTTAAATCATGCTGGTCGTAGGCGGAGGAGGAGAAAGGAAGGGAGGGGAGGGGTTCTGACTCCTCCTCCTGCCCAAGATGAGGAAGCCCTGAGCCTGAGTTAAGGGAACCCAGTCCTCAGTAGGCATCCAAGAGGCAGAATCCTCGGAGAGTTTGAGAATAGAGGCCTAGGCGCCAGGAGTGGGTCCAGGGAAGGTTCAGTCCTGCGTTCACCAAGCCAGTTGCTTAGGCGCGCTGAGTTTGTCTGAGCAGAAATGTATAAAAGTCGCCTGGCTGAGTGGAAAGCTACTGCAGCCCCTGGCTAATCGCCCTGCAAAGGGAAGAGAAGAGGAAAGAAAAAAAAAAAAAAAAAAAAAAAAGCAAAGCGAATTCTGACGGCCGGCGAGTCTTTTCATTTCTTGAGGCCTGGAGGACGCATCCCTACCCTCCCACACTTGGCTACCAGGGCGCGTCTTCCCCGCCTCCCACGCCACCCCCCTCCGCCGCACTGGGCTCTTCAAGCACGCCTTTTAACAATTTCCTTTAATCATCCCGGGGATCCAGACACGTGGGGAGTCCTAGCCTTCCTCCCTATCAGGTGCGAGTTTAAGATCAGAGACCCACGCCCAGCTGGCCAGGTCTGGGCCGGCTGCACTAGGTTTCTCGCTGGGCCTAAAAGGGACAGGTGTTGGGCTCCTTTTGCTGCCTTCTTCAGCGTGCCCCCTTCACACAGGCTCCAGGCCTCGGACCCTCTTGGCCATCTGATGGGGTTCCAACTGTTTAGGGAAGGCTGCTGGCAATTCTTGCTGCTAGCCCTGTCCTTCAGTCTCAGACTCAGAGACAGACAGCTCCTGTAGCAACAGCTAAGTAGACTCAGAGTGGTCTGTGCTAGGAGGCCACAGGGAGCCACTTGTTACTAACTTCAATATGTTTGATTCAGGGGCTCGAAGTCCAACCTAGGATGTAACTCAACTTCTTTGGTAACACCTTCTTGAGGAAAAAAGAAACGTGCTTACAGAAGTTTCTGGATAAGGAATCATGTATTATTTTGCTTTTATGCACAGAATGTCTAATTTATTTTTCGTTTACACTGCTAAGACTCTGTTACTACTCCTTAAAGCAAAAGGAGTTCATCAATTTTGTTGGTTTAAGGTAAATTAGCTCCCCAGTGGATTAATTATTCCACTTAACATTCTTGCTATCATAAAAACATGCATAGTTGGAGAGACAGTTACATGTCTAAGTACTTTCCAGCACTAATTACTCCACACAAGTATAAAATGGCTTTTCTTAAAAAAAAAAAAAATAAAGCATACTGTCCCTTTCCTTTATATCCTCAGCCTATTTATTTATTTATTTTTGTTTTGAGGCAGGGTCTCACTGTTGCCCAGTTAAGTTTAGATTTTAGGATTTTCTTGCCTCACCTTACCAAGTAGCTGGCATTACAGGCCAGCACCACAAGGCCCCCTCTGGATTAACTTTTACAGCAAGGTTAGCTGATATGTAAAAATCATGTGAGCAATGGTCACAATTGTGGGAATCGGACATTCAAATGACTGCTAATAATGCACAGATATGTTGCACAAAGGATCAACTTAAAACTGTGAATTGATTTAGAAAAATATAGTTCTGATATTTTTCTTTGCCTCCAAAGAAAAGAAAATGGTAGGGCACGAAGTGTGGGAGGATGTTGAAAAGCTCTCTTTTTTAAAAGTACTTTTTTATAGTTTTAAAAAATATTTTATTTATTATTTTTATTTCATATGTATGCATGTATGTGTCTGCACCCGTGCCATGCAATGCCGTGGAGGTCAGAGGAGGGCTTCGGATTCCTCCAGAACTGGAGTTAAGGACGGGTCATAGCTGCCATGTGGGTGTTGGGAATCGAACCCGGGTCCTCTGCAAGAGCAGTCAGTGCTCTTAACCACTGAGCCATCTCTCCACCCCCGAGATTTTATTTCACTCCAGTCAGTATGCCTATCAATAAGAAAATAAATAAGAAGAAATGTTAGCAGGGATAAAGAGTAACGGGAAGGCTTCACACTGCTAAGTAAGAATATAAGTTAGTTCAGCCTCTATGGAAAGGAACATGGAGGATTAAAAAAAAAAAAAACTGAACTAGAATTTCCATGTGACCCAGGGATACCACTCCTGCGTATTTGTCCAAAGGACTCTCAGTAAACATATCACAGAGATATTTACACATCCATGTTTACTGCTGCAATAAATACAGTATCACACACATGCACACGCACGCATGCACACACACACACACACACACACACACACACA